ATAATATAATATAATATAATATAATATAATATAATATAATATAATATAATATAATATAATATAATATAATATAATAATATCATTACACAATCTACTTTAGGAGACTGCCAATCACAAGCACAGCACTAAACTCGATGCCAGGACTGTAATTCCTTAAGATTGGGGACAAGGTGGAGTGGGATCATTTTGTCCAATCCCACATTGTTTCTCTTACTTGTAGAGAAATGATGTGTAAGAGAAGTAAGAGAAATGGTGTGGGATTGGACAAAATGATCCCACCCGCCTTGTCCCCAAACTAAGCTGCCTCCAAGTGCTGCAAACCACAATTACTCATTCTATCACTCTTAGTCCCTCTCAGATCCAGTTAAGGATGAACTTCCTTGTTACCACTTGTTACCATTTCTCCCATGCTTGGTGGGATTCTTCGTAGAACCAGGTTTCACATGTTAAGAATAACACAGATTGTCAGTCATCTCTACAGCTGAGGTCACCAGCTTTTCTATCCCCAAAAGCTTGATTGTCAGACCCAGGAAATCAGGAGTCCAGGCAATTAAAATAAATAGGGGTCTATTGTATGTTAATGATCTCTACAAGAATCTGAACTACTAATGGTCAAAGCAAATTTGTGGTACTGTGTTTCCCCAAAAATAAGACCTATCCTGAAAATAAGCTGTGGCATGTTTTTATGTGTTTGTGCCTAATATAAGCCCTACCCCCCAAAAAATAATCCCTACTTAAGAGCCTGTGCAGCCATTCCATCTGGTTGCTCGTGGTGTCGCTGATGCAAGATGAGGTGAGGTGGGGGGGGGTTACCAGCTTACCTCAGGGCCACCACAGCCAGGCTATCCATGCCCCGACAACTGTTTCATGGCAGCAGCATGAGCAGCCATCAGCCCACTTCTTCTGCTTGCAGGAGGCCAAGTTGTTCTGGTGCCGCCACTGTGAGGTAAGGCAGGTGTCGGGGCATGGGTGGCCTGGCTGTGGGAGACAGCCAAATAAGCCAGTGCAGGGTGCATGGGGTAGCTCCATCCCCCCTCGCCTTGTGGCTGTGGCACCACTGCATTGCTTGGCCTCCTGCTCCATTGCAGCCAAGAGCAAGCAGAAAAAGTGGATCGGTGGCCACATGGAGTCCTGCTGGATGGCAATGCCAGAGCCACCACTCTGAAGTGAGGCAGGTGTTGGGGTGTGGGTGGCCTGGCTGAGGGGGCCCTGAGGTAAGCTGTGTGGGGAACTTGGGGCAACTTCACTCCCCATTTTATGGCGGCACCACTGGCACACCACATGGCCACCTGCCCTGCCATGAGCAAGCAAAAGAAGTGATCCTCCCATACATGAAAAAAATATGACATCCCCTGAAAATAAGCCCTAGTACTTATTTTGGAGCCCAAAAGAAAATTAGACCAGGTCTTATATGGATAGGTAAGATCAATGGAATTCAAGGTGGGTTGGACTTAGATCTCTTGTGGGCATGAAGACTGATGACATGCTTGACCCTTCCTGTGGGTTTAGCTGATCATCTCCTCCATTGGCTTTCCAATCTTGTTCACACAAAATTGATGCTTCTTCTAACCCAGTTATTCTGCTTTCATCTCCACCAACTAGAGTAGAGGAACATGTGCACCAGAGTAGCACAGAGAAGGCAGACACCTATGAAACTTCAGAAGAACTGAGGTTTGAGCTGGGAGGTGTCTCCTTCCTACACCACTGTGTCTTGTACAGCACAAAAGTAGTTTCCTGAATGCTGAAGCTGAGCTCTAGAGCAACTCAGGTGGCTTTTCTTCCCATTCTCCAAATACTCTGCCACGAAGTGTTCCTTGGAGGTTCTTCCGAGGGAATCCACAGATAGGATTAGAGTTGGAGGGGCTCGAGGCAGCTGATGGTACCAAAAATAGGGACGATACTGGCTGGAGTAGTTGCACTTCAGAGTGAAAGAACGTCCTTCTTGAACTTCCAGGTTTTCAGGGGTTTGGGTAACTTGGGCATCCAAGCTGCAGACTGAAGAAAGAAAGAAAAAGAGGGATGGGTTTACAGGTAGATGCTCCATTCTCCCATGTTTATTGTCAGCATTCTGATGCTGCCATAAAAAGACGAGGCTTGACTTTTCGCCTACTTATTTTCTCTGTAGATAATATCCCCTAGGAGATGGGATGGGAGGGGGGAACATTCCTGTGGGGTGAGGTCAGAAGCTGGGGAGACTGACTTGGAAGATGGCCAATGAGAAGATGAGAACTGGGGAACGGAAAGGGAAGGGTTTGGGGGTCAGAGGGTTAGTATCGGCTACGACGAAGTCGGGGCCAGATCTGTCATACTCAATAAATGGAATATTTTAGCAAAGATTAATTGTTTGGGAGTGCAATTTATTTGAGATGACATTGAAACCTGACAGATAGTCAATAGCCTAGTTTGTACTGCAAACTAGGGCATACAAAACCTTTGGCAGACCAATTCTCGAATACAGCTCATCTGCCTGGAATCCACACTGTATATCGGACATTAATACAATTGAGCGAGTCCAGAGGTATTTCACGAGAAGAGTCTCCACTCCTCTGCTCACAATAGAATACCTTATGCCACCAGGCTTGAAATTTTGGGCTTGGACAACTTAGAATTACGCCGCCTACGGTCTGACCTAAGCACAGTACACAAAATTGTCTGCTACAACATCCTACCTGTCAATGACTATTTCACCTTCACTCGCAATAATACACGGGCAAACAATAGATAAAAACTCAAGGTAAACCGCTCCAAACTCAATTGCAGAAAATATGACTTCAGCAACAGAGTGGTCAATGCCTGGAATGCGCTACATGACTCAGTTGTTACATCCTCAAACTCCCAAAACTTTAACCTTAAACTGTCCACCGTAGACCTCACCCCAATCCTAAGAGGTCTGTAAGGGGCGTGCATAAGTGCACCAGCGTCCTTTCATCCCTGTCCTACTGTCCCCATTTATTTGTACTCATTTCCTGTGTTCATGTCCATGTTTATATATGTTTTCTCATACATGTTTGACAAATGAATAAAATAAAAAATAAATGCTCTCCCATTCTCCATCCTTTTCCATTCCCATTAGGGGGAAGAGGAAACTAAGAAATAATCGCAAGGTCTCCCTTATTCTTTGCCTTGCCATGGTTCGGATTAGGGCTAGGAACAGCTCTCATGTTCTTTCCAAGAGAGCCAGTTTGATCTAGTTATTAAAAAGTGAAAGGTTCTCCTCACACATATATGCTAGTCGTTCCTGACTCTAGGGGGAAGTGCTCATCTCCGTTTCAAAGAAGAAGAGTCAGCGCTGTCTGAAGACATCTCTGTGGTCATGTGGCCGGCATGACTAAATGCCAAAGGCACACGGAACGCTGTTACCGTCCCACCAAAGGTGGTCCCTATTTTTTCTACTTCCATTTTTTACGTGCTTTCGAACTGCTAGGTTGGCAGAAGCTGGGACAAGTAACAGGAGCTCACCCCATTATGTAGCACTAGGAATTCAAACCGCTGAACTACCGACCTTTCGATCAACAAGCTCTGTGTCTTAGTTACTGAGCCACCACATCCCTTGATCTAGTTATTAAGGAACAGAATTAGAAACTGGGAGATAGTGACTTCCAGTCCTCCTTTAGCATGGAATCTAACTGGGACACTTTTTGGATCACACCTCCCAGAATTATTGTTAGGAAGGAAATGGGAAGTAAAATATTATATCTATGCCTCCCCTGACTTGTACAAATTAAAGCTGAAATATAAATCTCATAATTCTTGGAATACTTTTACTTACACAGAAGAAATAATCCAATGAGAAGTGTCCTCCACTGAGCTTTCCAAGTTCTTGAGAACATTCTAAAGATATTCATGCTTCGGCTGGAGTCTCAAACTGAGTCACTTTTTCTCTTTTCAAGGCTGCTGTTTGGTTTCTCCATCTAATGATAAAAGTAAAGAATTTGTGGTTAAAGAGGGAAGAAAAGAAAACACATGTTCAGCTGTAACGGACACCTCCCCCCTGTTAGGAATGAAAGTAAAATGAGTGCCATCTAGTGAGAAAACTACAAATAGTCATAATTTACATTGAAAGAGTGATTAAGAACATAACTGTTGCAGAAAGTGACTCACTAAAAAGAATGCAAATGACCAGCTTTTCTGTAAGGAGTATAAATCCTTCCATTCCCCACCATCGAGTCAGAGCTGAAGAAGCTTCTTGGATGAGAAGCGAAACGTCTTCAAAGAAAAACTAAGGAAGTGCAGTTGCCTCTTGAAAAAAGCACCTTTGGGACAACCATGACCTGGACGAAATGGGACTATTAGTCTCTGATTTTTCATTCTCCTCGAGCGATTCTCCCCCAACTTATCTCCTCAGCTGGCACAGCTCCAGTCATTTGCTGTGGGGAATGGGCCACCGGCCTCTTCGTCCCAGACTCTTCGGCACAGCCCATTCGCAGAAAGAGGGTTCGTCCTGGGTGTTCCATCCTCTGTGACAATTAGCCCACAGCCAATTGGCTAGAGTGGGTGTAATAGAAATCCAGCCAAAGGAGAGAGCTGTAAAAGAATTTGCCAAAATGCCTGACTTCCTTCCTTCCTTCCTCTCTCCCTCTCTCTCTCTCCCCTGCCCCCCACCAATACAGGGAGGAAGGTTGGTTTACTCGGAAGTAAGTCTCACTAAATTCAATGCTAGGATTTAAATCCAGCCAAAGGAGAGAGGTGTAAAAGAATTTGCCAAAATGCCTTCCTTCCTTCCTTCCTTCCTTCCTTCCTTCCTTCCTTCCTTCCTTCCTTCCTTCCTTCCTTCCTCTCTCTCTCTCTCTCTCTCTCCACCCCCAATCAATACAGGGACACTGTTACTGAGCAGAGACCAGGCTAATCAAGGTGGGATAAAATAAAATAAAGTTAGTTAGTTTAGTTAGTTAGTTTATTATATTTGTATACCCCCTTCTCCCGAAGGACTCAGGGCGGTGAACAGCCATGATAAAAACAATGTACAAGAAAAATTAAAAGCTTATCAAAATAATTAAATCATTCGGCCAAATTTAAAACATCCAACTAAGATCATTTTAAAACCCCTATCAAAACCCAATTTAAAAACCTTTATCCTGTCAGACCAGCTTGCAGGAATAATAGGGTCTTCAGAGTGCACCGGAAGGCACGGAGGTCAGGGTTCCTTTGTATGTCTGGGGGCAGTTCATTCCATAGGGCCGGGGCCCCCACAGAGAAGGCTCTCCCCCTGAGGTTCGCCAGCTTACACTGTTTGGCTGACGGCACCCTGAGGAGGCCCTCTCTGTGGGAGCAATCAGTGGGAGGCTATCGGTGGCAGAATGTGGTCCTGTAGATAACCAGGTCCTAAGCCATGGAGCGCTTTAAAGGTGGTAACCAACACCTTGAAGCACACCCAGAAGACCACCGGGAGCCAGTGCAGCTCGCGCAAGATGGGTGTTACATGGGCGCGATGAGTCGCCCCCATTATTACTCGCGCGGCTGCTTTCTGGACCAGCTGGAGCCTCCGGGTTCTCCTCAAGGGGAGCCCCATGTAGAGAGCATTACAAAAGGAAGATGGACATTGTTTTTTGGAACTCCACCCCTCTAGAGGAGCCTCAAACATGGCTAGTTGCCATGTTATGCTGTTATGGTGGGTAGATGGATGGATGGATGGATGGATGGATGGATGGATGGATGGAAGGAAGGAAGGAAGGAAGGAAGGAAGGAAGGAAGGAAGGAAGGAAAAATTCTCTTCTATTGGACCCTTCCAGACTTGGTTAACTAACTGGTTGAAGGAAGGGAGGGAGGGAGGAAGGCTTTTAGCCTGCTCAGTAAAAAATATCCCTGTATTGGTTGGAGGGGGGGGAGAGAGAGAGGAAGGAAGGAACTCAGGCATTTTGGCAAATTCTTTTACACCTCTCTCCTTTCACTGGATTTAAATCCTAGCATTGAATTTAGTGAGACTTACTTCCGAGTAAACCAACTTTCCTCCCTGTATTTTTGGGGGGGGGAGAGAGAGAGAGAGGAAGGAAGGAAGGCATTTTGGAAAATTCTTTTACACCTCTCTCCTTTGGCTGGATTTCTATTACACCCCCTCTAGCCAATTGGTTGGGGGCTAATTTATTTTTATTATTATTATTCATATTTCTATGCCGCCCGCTCTCCGAGGACTCTGGGCGGCTTACACCAAAGACAGTATACTAAATACCATATTGCCCCCAACAATCTGGGTCCTCCATTTTACCCACCTCAGAAGGATGGAAGGCTGAGTCAACCTTGAGCCGGTGAGATTTGATCCGCTGATCTGCTGAACTAGCAGTCAGCTGAAGTAGCTGCAGTACTGCACTCTAACCACTGCGCCACCTCAGCTAATTGTCATAGAGGACGGAACACCCAGGACGAACCCTCTTTCTGCGAATGGGCCGTGTCAAAGGATCTGGGAGGAAGAGGCCGGTGGCCCATTCCTCACGGCAAATGACTGGAGGTGTGCCAGCTGAGGAGATAAGTCGAGGGAGAATCGCCCGAGGAGAATGAAAAGTCAGAGACTAAATGTCCTAGACCCGACCTGGATGACTGAGAATCTCCATAGACATTTAATCATCTTAGTTGCTCTATTTTGTACTTTTTCCAAAGACTCAAGATCTTTTTTGTAATGTGGTGACCAAAACTGGGTGCAGGTGCGGTCTTGCTAAGGTTTTATAAAGTGGTACTAATACTTCACGTGAAGTGTTTACTGCTTTGAGTAAGGGCAGAACATTTAAATAAATTTCACATTGGATTTGTAGATAAATATTTAGCCATTCTTAATCGAGGATATGCAGAATCCATAATTCTCAATTATTATTTTTTTAAAATTTGATTTATATGCCGCCCTTCTCCGGTGACTCAGGGTGGCTTACAATGCATTAAGCAATAGCCTTCATACTTTTGTATATTTATACAAAGTCAGCTTATTGCCCCCACAAACTGGGTCCTCAATTTACCTATCTTAGAAAGGATGGAAGGCTAAGTCAACCTTGAGCCTGGTGAGATTCGAACTTACAGTAATTGCAGACAGCTGGTGTTAATCACAATGCTTTTTAATGATTTATCAATTGTTATTAGCTATGGTAGTGGAGAATTAAGAACCCAGACCATCTTGAGTGCTAATTAGCAAAGTCAAGTTGTGTTGGAAAAAAATGACAAAGCAACATATAGGCCTGAAACCAAAGAGATTTCTGTTGGGCATTTTGCTAGAAAAATATGATAAAAAGACTATATATCTGGTGTTACATATATTAATCACAACTAGAACTGTATTTGTGCAACAATGAAAAAATGATGAGATCCCGCCTGAGGGGAATGTAATTAAGAAAATATTAGAATGTGCAGAAATGGATAGACTAACGCTTACTATTAAGGATAAAGAAGAAACTGAATATTTTTTGATATGGGATATATTTTATCAATGGCTAGACAATAGAAACAGAAGTGAAAAAGGAGGAGATATATAAGAAGGAAATGCCAAAGCGGAGAGTTGTTAAAGAAGATGATGTTAAGTATTATGGTTATTTTACTATTATATTATTATATTATCCATATGTGATGAATACCACATCACATTCATATGTGATGAATACCATATAATATATTATATTATTATTATATTATTATATTATCCAGTGATGAATACCACAACAAATAAGTGTATTATGATTGTTCAAAACTAATTGTACCCAGACCAAACTGTCTGATGAAAGTTGAATGTTATATAAATAAAACAAATAAAACATTGAAGGAAAAAAAAAGCCCATTTTGAGTGCTAATTAACGAAATCAAGTTGGGTTCGAACTTCAGGTCACAATGTTCAATTTTCGTTGACCCACAGTGAAAGATAATTGTGGTGAGTCCTTTGCATGAGTTATAAAACTCCTGACTCTCACAAAACTTAAAGCAATGTAACAAAACAACAGCAATTATGTTCTTAATGGGGGACCAGTGTCATAGGATACCAATAAATCTCAGGTTGCATCAGAGTACTATGCCAGAAGAGACACTATTTGAGGTGGCTATCTCCAGAGAGTTTTGAGGCATAGGGTGGACAAGGTGGCAACCACATCCCTACCCATGTTCCACAGGATTAAAAAATAAATAAAAAGTCCCAGTCCCAGCAATAATTGCATGACTTCCCACTACTTATAGACTAACTTCGTAGCCAATGCTTTGGATTGGCAAATCAGGATGTAGCTTCCATGCGCAAGGAATTCCAATGTACTTGAGCCTTGCAAGTGGTGGGAATGTCCTTGGATATATCGATGTAGGAGATGACCAGGCTGAGCCCTAGGGAGAGGTCAAATACACCATCGGTGACGAGTCCCTTTGTGCCCACAAGAGATCTAAGTCCAGCCCACCTTGAATTCCACTGGCTATTATCTACCTCCAATTTCCTTGGAAATTTAGTAGCTCAGATTCTTGTAGAGAGCTTAAATTGAAATAAATCTGTATACCCATTTGAAATGCCTGGTACGTCTGATTTTCCTTGGTGCTTTTCTATCACTATTTTCCCACCTTGCAACACAACAGGAATGCTTCTTTTTCAATTTCTGGTTGATACTAATGCAGGTTCTACCCACATGCGGCTTGTTTTGGGTCAGCTGGTGCATCTCTGCATCCCCAATTCCCCAGCTGAGATTCATTTCCCCTTCACGGAACTGCTCAGCCTTAGAAGGTTTTTGTACAAACAGCAGGTGCCTCTGTGTTGCTGGGTATCTCCAGCTGCACAGAAATAGACAGCGGCATCTTTCAAATGCACTCTTGTGATGTTCAGCTGACTTTCCTTCTGCTTCTCAAAAGAGGCACTGAAGTGGTCGCGTTTCTCCAATTCCACCGATGTAACCATTAAGAGAAACACAGGTCCTTCTCCTGGATATTGCCTGTACCAGTGCATGTTATACACATTACTGGAGCTGAACTGACAGACGATGGTGGAATCTTCTCCTTCTTTGATGACTTCCACGGGCTTCTGATCCACTCGGTCCTGGCATTGGACCCCTGGAAGAGAAAGACACGGGGATCATTCAGTTGATCGTGAGGAACCTTTGAACCATTCCTCTATCTTGGGCAATCTGCTGCAATTTGCAGATGACTTACAAAGGAATCAATATGGGAGAACAGGCATAAATGGAAAAAGAAGCAGATGTTTATCTGTGGAGATTCTCAGTCATCCAGGTCATGGTTGCCCCAAAGGTGCCTTTTCCAAAAGGCAGCTGGGTTTTCTTAGGGGTTTTTTTTTCCCCCTTTGAAATGTTTTGCTTTTCATCAGACAGTTAGAACCGAAGAAGCTTCTTGTGTGAGAAGCAAAGCATTTTCAAGGAAAAAGAAGAAGGAAATTCAGTTGCCTTTTGAAAGAAGCAGGTTATGAAGCTGTAGCTCAAGATGTTTTCCTGATCTTTCTTCAAAGGGAACTCAGTAGGGAGCTCGATTTCCTCTTCTTGGTTGCCCTCCATCTTTGGTGACAACCAGCAGGTGTCTTTGTAGCACTGTGCTCCATGCACAGAAGTAGACAGCTGAATCCTTAAGTTGGGTGTTCTTCAGATACAAAGAGGTGGTCTTGTTATTTGTGTCCAGAGTCATCTTGAAATTATCCTTTGTTTCAGTCTTTGATGAAAACAAGATATTCATAAACTCTGGCTGGCCTCCTGGATATTGTTTGTACCACTGAAGATTAGAAGCTCTTTCCGAATAGGAGCATTTCAAACGGATGGAGTCTCTTTCCTTAACTGAAAGAAATCGATGCTCCTGGGTGACTCTAGCTTGACCCGATACAACTGTAATAGAAAGGGAGGATTAGGAAAGGAGATGGATGGAGGGATTGGAGGGATAGAGGGATGGAGGGGTGGATGGGTGGAGGGAGGGATCAGAGGGAGGGATGGAAAGAAGAGAGGGAGGGAGGAAGGAAGAAGGAAGGAATTCCAAACCTTTAATTAACCAAACCTTTAGTACTGTATATCCAAGGAGCCAATATTATTCAAAGTTTGTAATCCTACCTTTACACTATTAAGTGCTTAAATAAATAAATTTTCTCCTGGATGCTTTTGCTGGTTTTCTTTGTATGGCTTTTGAAATATTCAGCTCCAAAATGACCTTGAGGAGGCCTTGCTATAAAAAGAAACAAAAATTGGCTAAGCATGATTTCCACCAATAAATGAAAATGAGGCAATAAGAGGAAAGAAAAAAAGGAAGGAAGGAAGGAAGGAAGGAAGGAAGGAAGAAGGAAAGAAAGAAAGAAAGAAAGAAAGAAAGAAAGAAAGAAAGAAAGAAGAAAGAAAGAAAGAAAGAAAGAAAGAAAGAAAAGAAGGAAGGAAGGAAGGAAGAAGGAAAGAAAGAAAGAAAAGAAAGAAAGAAAGAAAGAAAGAAAGAAGGAAAGAAAGAAAGAAAGAAAGAAAGAAAGAAAGAAAGAAAGAAAGAAGGTAGGGAGGAAGGAAGGAAAGAAAGAAAGAAGAAAGGAGGAAAGAAGGAAAGAAGGAAAGAAGGAAAGAAAGAAAGAAAGGAAGGAAAGAAGGATGGAAGGAAGGAGGGAGAAAAGAAAGAAAGAAGAAAGAAAGAAAGAAAGAAAGAAAGAAAGAAAGAAAGAAAGAAGAAAGAAAGAAAGAAAGAAAGAAAGAAAGAAAGAAAGAAGGATAAGATTTTGCTGATTTTCTTTTTATGGCTTTTGAAAGTTTCAGCTCCCAAACCACCTTAAGGAGGCCTGGGCATGATTTCCATCAATAGAGGAAAAAAATAAGAGGAGAAGGATACCTGTGGAGATGGCCAACAGCAAGGCAACGATCCTGCTCCCCAGATCTCCCATCATTCTTCCTTTCTCTGCAACAGGCAGGACAACTCTGTCCCCAGAAACACAGGAAAGGGAGAATGCCGACACAGTCTTGTGGGTGGCTTCGTGCTCAGACCTTCTGGGGATTGAAGATCTGCTCAGCTCTGCTTTGACTCACGTAGATCAAAGGAGGAACATACCACAAACCCAGAACATAGAACCTTTGTCTTAACTCACGCTCTTTAGCAAACAAGCCAAAATAGAAAATCTATTGTTTTCTAGCTGGAATAATTCACGGTAGGGAACATAGATCAATATCTCAACCACATGTGAGAACCGGATAACTATTAAATCAGAAATGCGGTAAATGGTCAGGGTTACATCCAACTGGGATCCTTCCAGTGGGTTTCCTTTCAGCCTCACTGACCTTTATCGAAGAAAGAATCTTCTAAAGAAAGGATCCTTTGGGTCTTCTGATTCTCTTTGTACTTGGAATTTAAGCAAGGATTCTGGGTTTCTTTGTGGAATTCTAACCACACAGCTTGTTCCAAACAGAGAGCATCCATGTGTGAAAGATTACAAGGCCCGAATGCCAAATCAATGTAGTCATGTTCTAGGGGATATTGGGAATGACAATGGGACTATTGGTCACAAGGGTTGGAAGCTGCTATTCAGGGATCTGGAGGAAAGGCTGCACCTACATCAGGCCGTATAAGAAGGCAGCAAGTGAACAAGAGGGCAAACTCACAGGAGATTTCACATCCTGCATCTAACTTCCCAATGCTATGATACATCTTTGCATCAATCTGATTCCCACCAGACACGGGGCTACCCCAAAAGGATAAACATGGAAAGAGAGGACAAAGGACGTTATATTCATTCCTCCTTTTTCCTTCCAGCCATCACTTATAGGACAGCACTTGAATACCCCAAAATGCATTTTTCCATTCTTGCTGGGAGTGGGAAATTACACACCATCAGGTTGGGTTGCTACCTCGGTGGGAAATCACAAGGAGATCTCTAAGTTCTAGGTTGCACTAGGAAGTAGAACAAATATCCTGAGAATGAAGCAAATCACTTTCCTAACTTGGCCAAGAAAACTGGAGCCTGTTTCCTCTTCAGCACCAGAGGTGAAGCTCATCTACAGGACATTATTAGCCTACGTTACTCTTTTGATAGGACTGTGGGAAAGAAAAACTGACAAGACTCACGTCTTCTTCCTTGCTTTCCCCATGCTAAGAAGATATACCATATTTTTCGGAGTATAAGATGCACCACCTTTTTAGGTAAGTCTTATAGTCCGCTGTGTCTTAAACTCTGAAAAATACAGGTATCTCTCCCTAAGATATGTCTCTCTATCCTTTTGACACCAGATATTAGGATTATTATTTCTACTTCAAGTAATGATCTGTCCTATCAAGTTCAGAGAACCAGTGGAGTCAAGAGGAGGGAGAAAACTTTTAGAAGAGTTCCCAGTTGACAGATCTTTACTAGAATCTGGTTGTAGTCCATTGCCCTCTTGTGGGAGAAAGATGAAAAAAAAGATGAAAAAAAAAACCCACATTCAACAAAATAGGCCTGTAATCCCCAACATTTCCTATTGAGTCATTTGATTGTAAGGTTCATCCCGCATGCCTCGAAAAACATTTTATGTCATGTCCTCATGCCATTGTCATCTCATCCCAAACCCATAGCAGATACATTTTAAAGTCAGCTTTAAAATAAGCAGTGTTTTCGGGCTTCTTCCATTGCTAAGAGGGTTGATGATATGGTCATGGGTGAGTGATATCCAGGTCTTTGCGGCAGGAGTGGGTTTCACTTACCTTTGCTACCAGTTCGCTCGAAGCTTCTGTGCATCCACAGATCATATTTTATGACGTCCAGGTGGGTGGGCGGACATCAAACTGGGGCAAACCGGTAGCAAGCCACCACTGCTCGGTGGCCATTTTAGGTTTTGGTATCCTTCTATCTATGAAACTGCAAGGACCTTTTGCAGGGGAGGGTTCTACTTACCTTTACTACCGGTTCGCAACTCACTTTGCTCGCACACGCACCTTGCTTCTGCGCATGTGCAGATCACTAATGATGACATCCGGGTCAGTGGGGGGCCTTCCGTTGGTTTAACTACCGGTTCTTGCGAACCGGTCCAAACCGGGGCAACCCACCACTGACCTTTGGCTGGTGCGACAGGAGAGAGCAGAGGCCATATCATGTCTACCTCTCTAACTTCCAAAGTGATTGTCACATTTTATTGAGGTTCCTTTGGAAGGAGCACTAGATCTGATAATCATAATCATAATTATAAGTTTATTTGTCAAGCATATATAAAAATAACGTAAAAGTATAAACATAATTTGAATACATGAAAAGAGTAAGTAAAAAGGAATATTAGGACAGGATGGTAGGCACGCTGGTGCACTTATACACGCCCCTTACAGACCTCTTAGGAATGGGTGAGGTCAACAGTAGACAGTTTAAGGTTAAAGTTTTGGGGGTTTGGGGAAGAAACCACAGAGTCAGGTAGTGCATTCCAGGCATTGACCACTCTGTTACTGAAGTCATATTTTCTGCAATCGAGTTTGGAACGGTTTACCTTGAGTTTGTATCTATTATTTGCTCCGGTATTGTTGTGGTTGAAGCTGAAGTAGTCATTGTCAGGAAGTACATTGTGGCAGATAATTTTATGTACTATGCTTAGGTCAGATTGAAGTCGGCGTAGTTCTAAGTTGTCTAAGCCCAAAATTTGGAGTCTGGTGGCATAAGGTATTTTATTGCGGTTAGAGGAATGGAGGACTCTTCTCGTAAAACATCTCTGGTCTCTCTCAATTCTATTTATGTCCGATATGCAGTGCGGGTTCCAGACAGATGAGCTGTATTCAAGAATTGGTCTAGCAAATGTTTTGTATGCTCTAGTTAGTAGTACAACATTACCAGAGAAGAAGCTACGCAAGATTAGGTTAACAACTCTTAAAAGCCTTTTTGGCAATGTTGTTACAGTGGGCTTGGGCACTTAGATCTTTAGAAATGAGTACTCCAAGGTCCTTGACAGAGTGACAGAATGAGTAAGAAATAGATAAATCTAAATAGTATTTGCAATAGCAAGAATATGCATAGCTGGGATTTGAATATTGACTCCAGCATGATTTGGAGCCCACCAATTGATCGGTTTGATTGTTGT